TTGTTCCTGTTCCGTAGTTAAAGTTATACCGAGTGGAATAAAAGTTGGAAGCAGAAGAAAGAGTTTGATACTCGGCCATCCACGGTACAATATTATTAAATATGTGAGTTTTGACAATGATTAAAAAGTTGACAGCAGCAAAGAATTACAATTTAAAACGTTATACGTTCATAAACAAATATTCAATAAGGTACATTTCCCCGTAAAGTTATAATGTTGCATGCGGACAAAATATCCGACTTTTTGCTTTTAAACCTTCAGACTCACTTTTCAGTAGCTAGCACTACGCCAACTCATAAAAATTCACTGAGTTGCCTACCCAGTGCTGTGCGACGACAGACGAGCGAACTGTGCGTTTGTTTTACCGTGAGTTTGGCTTACAATGCGTAAAATGTAACTTAGTTAGATGGCGGGTAGTGTGTTTTATACTACTTTCAGTAGTGGCCTGGGTAACTCAGTGAATTTTCATGAGTTGGCGTAGTGCTGCGCAAATGGCTTGGTGCGCCAACCCATCGCACCGGCGCAGTAACTCACTGGCTCAGATTATCTTGCCGTAAACTCAAATAGGTAAACTCGTATATACAGCCTTGGCATTCAACTAATGGCGAAAATTTCACTAGTAATGTTGTTTAGGCTAAAATATTGCGTTTCAGGCAAATTTATCCGATCCCAAAGTTAATAGATTCCGACATACAGTGTGAACGTGTAAATAATAATATCGTTTTTTCTGAATAGATTCTTAAACAGTTAAGTATACAGGATGATTCACGGTCGATGGCGTATTAGACGTTTAAGGAGAATGCAATGCCCGATCTATCTGCAAATTTGTACAACGAAGCCATCGGATATGCTCTATCGGCGTAAATTATTTTCAGCAATGCGAGGGTGCCGCTTATACCGAAAAGTACATACAACTTTGATATTTTAAATAAGACACCCTGTATATTATTACACGGTTAGATTGTATATATAGATATTATTATTTTTGCATAATGCATAATACAAGATTACTTGGAGCTACGTTTTGATTAAAAATAATGAATTTTATTAAATATTTCGGAAACCGCTTCAGATCGATATAGGAATCGTTATGCAGAAATAATCAGATCTATATCGCCAATCCAACCGTGCAATAATATACAGGGTGTCTCATTTAAAATATAAAAGTTGTATGTACGATTCGGTATAAGCGGCAACCTCGCATTGTTGAAAATATTTTAGGTCGATAGAGCATATCCGGTGACTTCGTTATACAAATTTGCAGATAGATCGTGCATCGTGTTCTCCTTAAACGTCTAATACGCCATCGACCGTGAATCACCCTGTATATAAACTAATAACTAACATAAAAGAACAACACAAATGTTAGAATAGAATATTGGGAGAAAATGCTAAGATAAAAGATTTAAGAATTTTAAAAAGGGAGGGAACAGAGTGAAAGAGAAAACAAAAAGCTAAAGAATCAAAGAAAAAAATGGTCAGTTTCAATTGAATCAACATCATCGGACGGTAGTCATTATAATGTGCAATAACCTGGGGTCTGAATTGCA